CCCCAAAACCCCAAAACCCCAAAACCCCTAGGGGTTTGAAATCAGTTGAAATTTATAAAGAAATATTCAAAATTTGGGGACTTTGACTGGGGATTTGGAATTAGATAGGACAAATTATTTGGATTTTAGTGAGATTTTGTTCTTTTATGAGGTTTGTGGTAGTGGTTTTTGGAAGTCCAGTTTCTGAGATGGAGATTTGTTTTAGGGTGTGAGCATGGGTGTCAGCTTGGGAGAAAGTAGATATTAAGGCCCTGAAAGTGGTGTCTGGACTCTTGCTGGCTGCAAGGCTAATATGGAGGCATGATGTTAAAGATTTTTCAAGAGTTTGTGATAAATCTGGCACAGTCGTAAAATCAAAGTCTCAGTTCTTAAGCTCAAGGAGGCTTGCTTGACTTGAGAGACATAATACTTTCTGGAAGTCACTGTGAGATATATTGAAGTTTTCAAGGGTAATCATGTCTGTCACATTTTTAGAAGCAATCATTAGTTCTTTGAGGTATTTACTAATGCTAGTTTTAGATGAAGGTATAGTATATCCACCTAAATAACGAAGTCTAAAGTTCCTGACTTGCTTAGAGAAGGATTTGCTGAGAAATGTTTTTACTGTCTTCCTTCCTGAATTATCAAACTCTATATTGAGCTGATAGCAACAAGGAACCTGGAACTTTATATCCCTTTAATGAACTTTAATTGGTCTATGATTGTTGTATTAAATGATAGAAATCAATCAGAATTAAATAGTTCGTCTCTACATGTGAGATCTGAGTGGAATCTCTTTGACAAGTTTATAGTTCCAAATGTTCTTCCTTCTCAGCAACAATATCTTCAGAGTATTTTAGATATGGGAGCTCAACCCTACTTATTCTCTGTTGTAGGATTCTAATTGTCTTTCTTAAACTCATTATCAGACTTCTGCCAGAATCTGAGTCCAGGATGTTTACAAAGTTTCATTCCTGATTAACTCATTCATTACAGAACCTTTGGAACCCAGAATCTTGGTTAAGTAAAGTGAGTAGATTCTCTCTGACTCCTTTGGAATGCATCACGCTTAGAACTTTAGAGGTGGCCTCTCAAGTCAGGTCTGTTTCTGGTTGCAAAATGTTCATAATAATTAATCTAAATATTACAAAATCTATAGATATTTTGGGGTTTTGGGGTTTTGGGGTTTTGGGGTTTTGGGGTTTTGGGGTTTTGGGG